TCAGAATACCTACCCCGCTGCCACTTCAAAGTGACGGTACCCTAAGGTGGCCTGGTGCCGATCCTCGGCGCCAGAAAGATTTCTTCGACCACGGAATTCCAGGAGGTTCATCCAGGCCATCGAAAACTTGGTGTACGGCTTTGCTGATCTTGACCGTAAGATGTGACCCCTGATGATTCGGCGTCAGGAGCTGGCACTAAAAATGAATACAGCGGTTTTCGGACTCTCTTGTCGTATTCTGCATTCAAAGCAGGTCGGCCGCCGGTCGCAGGCCGTGCGATCGCAGTCTGCACGTGTGCCTAAGAGTCGCAGACCGTCGGATGGATATTCGGCCTCTTCCAGGGGGGGCGGCTGTCTCTATTGATTGCTTTGGTCAAAATTGTGTCAAGACTCAAAACCCATCCACCTATACTACCGGTAACTGCTTACCACGTATACTACAGAAGGTAGTAATATATACCAACTGCTTACCAATATTATCCGATGGCGGCCATATGTACTCGTCTCTTGGATACTTTTGAGGAAGCCAAAAATAGATCAGTAAATGCCCGTACACGGTAGTGTGGCTTTGAACGGTTGAACCTACTAAGTCAAACCGTGGTCCGTGAGCTCGGAATTCCCACGGTTTATGACGACAAATGACATCCGATGTTAGCTTCAAAGTCAATTCTTCAAATAATAACCAACTTCTATTCTATATGATGCTTCATATGGCATGCCGAGTGCAGCACGCGTGCTGCCAATCTAGTTAAGCTCCGAGATTCGTCGGCGAAGTTGGAACTTAGAACTTACGGTCGGCGAAAATTGTTGAGAGTACATTCGCCGGCCGTCAGATCTCACTGACGGACCATAGCGTCATTCCGTCGGCAGTACGCGCGCGAGCATAGAAGTTGGACTGATTCATATCATGTACATGAAAGTACGCGAGCAGTCCCGATGTGCGGTGCGCTCCGTGTGGAACAATCGAGCGGTCCAGACGCCATCATCTTGGAAAACGCCAGGCGTGAAGCCTGGTAACAAGAATAGAATACATCCCCTTTTAGTCGATATTGCCGCTGAATATTCAGCTACCTTATACACCGGTACTTTGGTCGCGGAGGGCATTGGCCGCCAGGCCAATGTCCCACGCCTCTCACAAAGGTCATCGGCTTATGGCATCCTGGGCGTTCCAATTTCCGCCACCCTTAATTCTCAGATCTGCAGTTCGCGTGCTAAGGTACGGTACGGTACGGTACGGTACGGTACTTTTCAGTCCATTATATGATTTTCTGGTATGTACCTTGGGTGACCACGTGGATTCAACAAGCTATCCTATTGGCTAAGAAATCTGGAAATTTTCGGTCGACGCGCACCCTATTACGACGATGTACCGGTGCTGATTCCTGAAGCCAAAGGCACCCCACCGGCTGGGTCGTCGAGCTAGGGCTGTCCAGGGAAAATGTGTACCCGGCTCGTTGTCCCGGGACGATTAGCCGGTAGATCGCCGTCGGCAGTGGGCACAGAACGAAGTGAAAGGGCTGGCATGACCACCTGGGCTGACGACGAGAGTTTCCTGTGCCAGGCAGGTCCTTATCGCGACCGGCCTGCCCGGGGACTGTCGGAGGGTGCCTTGAGTGACTTTTAACCGGCCTTGAGAGGATACTGTCAACTGAACTGTTGTAATTCTTGTAACACTTCTAGAGAATAGAAGATAATTTGTGTGATTGACTGTGTCTTGATCTCAAACTACAGGTTTTGCACACATGTAGTAGTTATACCATGAGAG